GGCATCCATAAACGCCCTGAGTTGCTTGCATAATTTTGTGTAGGCAGGCACACATTTTTTGAGTAAGTGCATAGCTTTCATTGACTTCATCCAGAAAGATAAAGAACCTTTTGTACCATCAGAGTTTGTGGAGACCATTTATTATACCCTGTGTAGTTGTTCCAGATTTCATTGAGCAAGTAAGACTTGAACTCATTCTTGGAAAATGGTATTCAGAGAATAACAGGGTAGGAGGCAGCCCTGAAGAAAGGATTCCCAAAAGACAACTCCGAAGACCGTAACATTTAGAACCAGTTCTTCTTGTCTCTCAAACTCAATAAGATGTACATCTGCAAAGTGGTGGTAATGGTGGCTTCCTAGCATTTTGTAAAGGACCATGAGCTCCTGTTTTGTTTTCCTTTTTTTTTTTTTTTTGGCTCACTCTGAACCTTAGTCTTGACTTACATCATAGTGGACCCTAATCGATATTTGATGAATGTGTGAGTTAACTGAAATAATAAATGCAAGAGGGCTTTGTAAATAGCAGAGCATTACTTCAGCAAAAGACCTTTGTTGCTACGCATGTGTATTTTGTGCTTTGCAAACAGCCTGCACTAAGTGAGCATCTTCACCTCCCTTGAAACTGACCCTTCCCTTGTAATGGGACTCAGAGGACCAGCTCATCTGATGGAGTATCCCTGGGCTGGTCAGATGAATGATAGCTGTGCCGTCAACACTAACAAGATGTGCAGTTTCCTAAGAACCCAGAGGTGATCTCATCCTCTGAGGACTTGGCCTCTTCATCCTGGCGCCTGCTGAAACACATCTGCAGCCCTGCCCTCACTCCAGGACTGGGAGACTCTAGGAGCGAGGGTCTTTACTGTCCTCAGCAAAAAGACTGCCAAGGGTGGAAGGGAATGACAGAAAGAGAGTATTGCAAGGCCTCTGCTGGGACTCCTTCTTGCAGGATTCACAGAACCACTGATTGGATCTTCTCTGTGACTTCTCAGCACCCTAGATATGATCAGCTGCTTCTTTGCTGAACACTTGGTGTCTCCCACCTCCTACCACGACTTCCTCAACATGCCCATACTAAGAGAGAATAGATCTGCTCTCATTTTTTTTCTCCTGTGTGCCATCCAGTAGACAAGGTGACTCATCATCATTGCTATGGCACCCCAAGGAAATTGCGCTGGTTGGGAGTGGGAAAGATTTATTTATTTATTTATTTATCGACTCAGGGTCTCTGTCACCTAAGCTGGAGTGTAGTGGTATGATCATGGCTCACTGCAGCCTCAGCCTCCTGGGCTCAGGTGATCCTTCTGCCTCAGCCTCCTGAGTAGCTGGGACTACAGGCATACACCATCACACCTAATTTTTTTATTTTTTTGTAGAAACAAGGTCTCACTTTGTAACCTAGGCTGGTCTTGAACTCCTGGGCTCAAGCAGTCCTCCCGCTCTGGCCTCCCAAAATGCTGAGATTACAGGTGTGAGCTACCATGCCTGGCCAGAAAGATGAATGGCATTGATTGAATGTGGCAGGAGTTCTCAAAGAAGTCAGGAAAGATAGAAGTGATTTTTATAGATAACAGTTCTCCACTGCAGGTGCTGCTAGGGGAAGCAAGTCTGAGATGATGGAGTGCAGCCCTTCTTCCAAATCTGTCACTCAGAGACTTGGAATACATCACTTAACATCTCTGAGCTTCTGGGTCCCCCACTATAAGCTGGGGTAGTACCTGTACTACTTCTTAGGATCAAATGGAATGTCAAAATGTATGATGATGCCCCAAGTGATATAAAGGTATACCTATTTGTTATGAATAACTTATACCTGAGTATACCTGTTATATATAGAACACCCACTGTGTGACAGGTGCTTTTACATTTATCTAATGTAATCCTCATAGTAGCCCTGTGTGGTTGTATTAGTCTTCCATTTTTATGGATGAGGAATCAAAGACTCATGTGTAGAGTCATACAGCTGATGTATGTGGGTTTATACCTAAGTTCAGGTCTATTTCCATTCTTCAACATAACTGGCTCATGATTCTTTTCTCCTGTACACTGTTACTTTGTCCCCTAAAACATTACGTACTCCTCTAGCCTTTGCCATCTGTTATGGAGTGGGCCCACCCACTTGCTATAACGTTTTTTAGATTTTTTTTCATGTTTTTTTCTTTCTGTTTTTGCTTCTGATATTCCTATTAGCCCTGCTTTCAGCTCCCCTGTCCTGACTTCTAAACACAGTATGTACAAAAACTAACTGAGCTGCTTTCTGGAGGCAGCACCTTGGTCTTGTGAAGTGAGAAAACAAATGGTCTTTCCCTGCCCAATTTTCCTGACTCTAAGGCAGCTCTGTTTATAAGAAAGCTAAGTGTGCAGGGAGCAGGGGGCCCACATTTTCTTTCATCCCCTCTTCTGAAATTATTGTGCTTATGTGTCCCAGGCAGACCCTTCAGAAAAACAGTGATGCTGTAGCTCTTGATCTTGTCAAGTAAGACTGAGGGAGCACTAGAGGAAAGTTAGACCCCTGGTGGGAACCCCGCTTGGTCTTTTCACTCCTGCAAGACAGGGCAAAGAGTTATTGGTTCTACTTTAGAAATGGGAAGAGGAGAGAGAGGGACTTGCCTAGCATCTCAGTAAGTAGGCAGTAGAATCAAAAGCATGGTTTATGTCAGCAGTCCTATGTGTCCACGGGAGTCGGGCAGCTGGGCGTTGTTACTGATGTTGGCGGATTGCTGGCTCTGGGCTTGGCACAGTGCTGGCCCTGGGAGGTTCCGCTGACACTCAGCACCCACCCCCAGTTCCCACCACCTAGCTCCCCAGGCCTGTATCCTGACGCTGCTTGATGGAGAGAATATGGCATAGGGCAGCTCCCGTCCTGAGTCCCACCTGACAAGTTGATCCCAAGCAAGTCACTCCAAGGTGGGCCTCTTCCTGGGGAGGTGCATTTATAATAGATGCTGCCCATTCTCCCAGTGCCAGGAATCTACCCTGCAATTAGGTAAGAGATAAATCAAAGCCAAACTTGGCTGATGAAATTCAGGAGCCAGGAGTGAACCTTGCCACACATATAAATCCCAGCAGGCTAGCCAAGGGCCTTTGTCTGGCCAGGAGAGTTCAGGATTATCTGGCCCTCTTTGCTGATGTATGGAGTCACCGGCTGTTGGAGTGTTTACTAACGGTTATCACCTCCATGCTTTGGCCATTATCAGAGGCAGGGCCGCCTGCCGGGGCTGGGGCTCGCACCCTCTCTATTACCACCTGTCATTGGCAGGGAGTGTGTGCTGACACTGCCCAGTCCCTACTGCCTAGGAAAGATAGTTTCTGACGGCTGATCAAAGAGGAGAAGCAAGGCCTGATAAAGAGTGTGTGTTTCGTGTACTTTTAACTTTGGGAAACACTGGCATTTGCATTTTTTCCCCATCTTCCTGGTGCTGGCAGGAACCAAGCCCAATAAATGCAGTGGATTCAGTTACCTAATCGCTAGGGAAATGGTATGTGCTTAAAGCAACAGAGCATGACTATAATCTCCTTCCAAGAGAGAGTGGATGAAATAAGCTTTCACAGAAGACTTGCTGTATAATAAAGTAGAATAATTTTAATTTGGACTTTGAAGTGATCTTGCATGTAAAATCTAATCTTGGCATTCAGCAGTACACCATGTACTTCTTGGAATTGGGGAGAAGCATTGGCTAAAGGAAGCATCCTTACTGAAGATGCTATCACACACCTCTTTGCTGGTCTACCCGGATAGTGCCCCAGTTGTATACGTGTTCTTGGGCAGCTGGGAGACTATATGTGATGGAGTAGAACGAGTTCTTAATGGAGGCATCAGGAGATGGGAGTTCTGGGACCAAGTCTGCCACAAACTTGCTGTTTGATCTTGGCCATAACTTTCCTGAGCTTCAGCTGTAAAATGAGGAGGTTGGTTATAGGTCATAGGCTATAATGGCTTGGAAAACTATTTTTTTAAAAATTAGGCTATTTAACCCCTTCTTTAAATGAAATTTTAGGTGGAGTCCCATTGTGTCAAAGAGAAATAGAGATATTTTGGTTGAACCCACGAGGGAAGGATACCTTCCCTCATCCCAGTTCTTGAAGCCATTCTTAAAGACCAGAGGAACCCTGGAGGTCCTCAGATAAACTTTTTTTTTTTTAAGAGACAGGGTCTCACTCTGTCTCCTAGGCCAGAATGCGGTCGCATGATCATAGTTCACGGTAACTACAAACTCCTGGATTCAAGCAATCCTTCCACCTCAGTCTCCCAAGTAACTGGGACTACAGATGTGTGTCACCATGCCCAACTAATTTTTAAAAAATTTTTAATAGAGATGGGATCTCACTGTGTTGCCCAAGCTAGCCTCGAGCTCCTGGCCTCAAGCAATCCTCCTGCTTTGACCTCCAAAGTTCTGGGATTATAGGTGTGAGCTACCAAGCCTGGCCCAGAAATGCTTTTTTGTTTGTTTAGTTTTGGGGATTTTTTTTTTTTTTTTTTTTTTTGAGTCACAGTTTTACTGTCGCCCAGTGTGGAGTTCAATGGCACGTTCACGGCCACCACAGCCTCGGCCTGCTGGGCTCAGGCAATTCTTCTACCTCAACCTTCCAAGTAGCTGGAACTATAGGCACATGCCACCACGCCTGGTTAATTTTTTGATTTATCATAGAGAAGAGGTCTCGCCAAGTTGGCCAGGCTAGTCTCAAACCCCTGGGCTCAGGCAATCCTCTCACCTCGGCCTCCCAAAGTGCTGGGATTACAGATTTGAGCCTCCAGGCCCAGCTGCAGAAATGCATTAAAAACCACTAGCCTCAGCCTCATGGAGGTTACTCTCTGGCGGTCTGTATTCTGACCCAGTGGCTTGAGCTGTTTTTTTCTGCACTACACATCCCTGTTTTGTGATGTGCATCTGTCCTGTAGAAGAGTAAATGAAACCTGGGCATGGAGGGGAGTGGGTGGTGGGCAGACAAGAACAGCCTGCTCTCTGAAGGTGTGGACTCAATGTCAAATGTCCCACATGTGCCACAGGTACCTTTGACCGGAGCGTGACCCTGCTGGAGGTGTGTGGGAGCTGGCCTGAGGGCTTTGGGCTGCGGCATATGTCCTCCATGGAGCACACAGAGGAGGGCCTCCGGGAGCGGCTGGCCGACGCCATGGCTGAGTCACCCAGCCGGGATGTCGTGGGATCCGGAACAGGTAAAGGTGTCATAGACTTCTAGCCTGACTTGGATAGGACCGACACCTGATGGTGTAGAAATTCTTTGGCAGGGAGAGGCATATGTTTGTTTTGCCATTTGTTTCTCATGTTAGCACTCTGATGGCTATGCATTTAGAAGCCTCTGGTGTTGAGAAACCCTGTGTAGACGGGAGTTCCCAGTGGAACTGCCCTGTCCCACATGGGATTACATGTACAGAAATGCCATGATAGACGCCATTGTGTACATAACTCCAGAAGGACACCCTACTCCCTTGGGGACAGGAGTCCCAAGCCTCCCAGCAGTGCTTAGGCACTGAGTCCTAAGGCAGCACTCCTTCTTCAGTCATGCTAGAGGCTTCAGTCATGCTGGAGGCTTTTCAGAGATTGGCAGGTGTCACCGGGGCCTAGCAACCCAGGCAGGAGGAAGCAGGAAGCAGGCTGTGCTGGTTTCAGTGCCCGAAAGTTTTTCCTTGTGCTGCCTTTTGCCCTGTACTCTTTCTTGCTCTGAGCAAGCCAGCAACTGGGGTCTGGGTGGCTTCCTGACTCCACAGAGCACTGGAAGACTTCCTCAGATGATGAACCAGCCCTGCCCCACCAAGTGTGTATACACACACACACACACACACACACACACACACACACGTGTACACTCAGGAAAGACCATAGTCCTTCCATCACAGTATAGCTGCCCTATAACCTGCCCCTCCTTTTATCCAAAGCACTTCCTCATTCTGCATTTCTGTGCTGGTAGTGACTGCTCCCGCCCTGCTTTTGTGCCTGACAGAGGCAGTCCCAGCAGGCCTCTTCACAGCTTTGTGAGTCAGTGAGAACTTTTTATCAGGTCCAGTGAAACCTGGCTGGAGACCTTCCCTCTTGCTTGCCTGAGTCCTCTCAGCACTGTTATTCTTTGCTGTAAACTGTTCCATCCCTACTCCACATGCCTACCTGGAAAGAAGATCCCAGTGAGGAGAAACTTAAATCCCTGGGGCAGGTCCTAATCAGGAACACCAATATTTGGAGAATCAGAGCATTTGGGGCAGTGCTTGAGAGGCCTGAGGTCATCCCACAGCCTCACTTCCCTGTGGACCCTTCAGGTCTGTAGTTGTCTGGGTTTGGCAGGCAGGCATTTCCCTCTCTTCTGCCCCATCCCTATGTCGGTGCCTCTGTTCTTACACTAAGAGCATGAAGACATGTCACCTCCACAGCACTGGCTATGTCACCTGCCCATGATGCTTGTGTGATCATTGGCAAATGAACAGAATGGAATTGATGGATGGATGCAGGGAGGAAGAGCAAGGATTGGCTGGAGGTAAAGAAGTGCCTAATCAGGATACAGGAGTCAGCCATCCCTGAGGACACCTCCCTCATCCCCAGACAGAAAAGAGATGTGGGCCTTGGATGCTGCAATAAGCTATGTCCCACACCATCGTACACATACATGCATAGACACTTCACACCACCACTCCACCCTCATCATAAACGCTGCAGCCCATGGATAACATGTCATCATGCCTCTGTTCCCAGCTGGGCCCAGAGATGAGGAGAGGCTCTGCCACTTACAGGGCTTGACCCAAGTGTTCCTACATGCTAGTCTAAGCCAGGAAAACTCCTTTCTGACCCTTGCACATGGCCCAGCCTTTCCCCTGCATCTCCGGGGCCCCTGGCCAACCTCAGTTCATGTTAACTGGAACCTGGTGTCACTAGCCTCATTCCCAGGAGCCTCCCTCTTCTGAGGGCTCTGGGGGCTCCTGGAGCCTCCCTCTTGTCTAGCTGCTTTCCCAGAAGCCGCTTGGAACACCTCAGCATTATCCGGCAAGCAGATTTGCAGGTGCACTCAGTCACAGTTGTGGATTCAGCCTGGCATAGACAGTAACCTGAGCAAAACTGGCAGCGATTCATCTGCCAGGCAGCTGAAGGATCCAGGAGCGTCTTTGTGGCCTTAAGCAGGTTCATGAAATTAAAAAGAATAAAAAGAGGGAGAGGGAGAGAGAGAGAGGAAATTAAAACTGCATGACCCACAGGTCAGAAAATAGGAGACTCCTTTTTTTTTTTTTTTAGCAGAGAGATTTCATTTTCCTCCCCAAATTGTCACCAAAAGGAATTCACTTGGTTTTCTTTGACCATATTAGATGGGGTTTTTTTAAACATCTACCTCTATTTTAAAGGCCAGTGAGTACAGCATAATGGAAGATAACTGGCTTCCTTCTCTGTTGTTGAAAATCACTTTTCACGTTTTCCAACTAGAGGTGAAATATAGGCCCAGTATTGTAGCCCAAGCCTTGCTGGGCCTGGAAAGGGCAGCCTAGTACACCCATGCCGAGGGCAGCCTCCTGCCTAGAAATAGCTGGGGAAAAACAGGGCAATGTGGACAAGAATTTCCAACAAATCACCCTTTGCCATAGCTGCCTCTCAACCCCTCTCTGTCTTCTCACAGCCCTACTTCTGTAGCTGGCTCATAAGACAAGCAGATAGGGCAACATCCAGTGTTTACATCTGCTAGGTACCTGATGCCCCAGAGATAAGTCAATTCCTGTAATGCCTTCTAGCAGGCACCTCATGTGATACAGCAGCCAAGGACCGATGCCCTCCTTATCAAAGTATGAATGAAGCACAGAGGCCAACTCAAGACTTGCTCTCATGACCCCTGACACTGAACCCCATTATGTAGCACACATTACTTTCACATAGGTTAAGCTGTTGGTGTTTGTAAATATTTAACAACCAGCTCTTCAGAGAGAGACAGGAAAGCCCTGATTTGTGGATTTCTGTAACATAAAAACTCCTAGGCTGGGCACAGTGGCTCAAGCTTATAATCCCAGTACTTTGGGAGGACAGGGTGAGGAGACTACCTGAGCCCAGGGGTTTAAGAACAGCCTGGGCAACTTGGCAAGACATCATTTCTATAATAAATCAAAAAATTAGCCAGGCATGGTAGTGCATGCCTATAGTTCTGGCTACTTGGAAGGCTGAGGTGGAAGGACCACTTGAACCCAGCAGGTTGATGCTGGGGTGGCTGTGAGCATGCCACTGCACTCCAGCCTGGGCGACAGAGTAAGACTCCAACTCAAAAAAACAAACAAACAAAAACAAAAACCAGCCAGGCTCGGCAGCTCAGCCTATAATCCCGCGCCTTTGGGAGGCTGAGGTGAGTGGATTATCTGAGCCCGCGGGTTCGAGATCCACCTGGGCAGCGAGACCTCACCTCTACAATAAATCAAAAAATCAGCC